ATATATATATATACATATACATATATATATATATATAGGGAAACCAATCTCACATTATTTACAAACTTACCAAATGTGCTCACCTAAATTAAGAAATAAAATAATTCTGAATAAAAAATAGGGAAAACATAAAATAGGAAGGTATCTAAGGTTTCCTAAGATATCCCAATCAAATCCTCCATTATTTGGAGCTGGTGGCCGGCCCACATGAGCGACGTAAATATGAAAAGGACCAAATCATCTTAGATTTATACGCTCCCTCTTAAGCCAGGTTGTAGATGTTGTAGAAATTGAGCTTAGTATTGATATCTCAGAAGGGGTTGAAAGGATGAGCTTTGGTGAAGACATTAGAACTTGTTGGTGTGTCAGGATGTAACTTATCTGTATAACTCCCCCATTGATCTTTTCAGAGAAGAAATGTTCGTCAACTTTAATATGCTTGGTCCTATCATAATGCACATAATTCTTGGCAATACTGATAGCTGCTCGGCTGTCACCAAACATCTGTATAGGTCTATTGGAAGAACATCGCTCCTCCTTTAACAATTTCTGAATCCTGATCCCTTCACAAATCTCCAAAGTAAGTGTCCTATACTCTGATTCTATATTGCTTCTCAAAACAACTTGTTTCTTACTCTTCCTTCTAACCCGATTTTCCCATAAATATGAACAATAACTTGTGGTGGGCTTTCTTTCAGTGAGTTCTACCCAACTAGCATCAGTGTAGACTTCTACTTCTCTGTTTCTGGTTTTTTAAGAAAATAATTCATAACCATTAGTTTTCTCGAGAAATCACAGAATCCTGTAAACCATCTCCAAATGCTCTTCTTCTGGGTAATTTATGTGATGACTCACAATACTAACGAAGCATGCAATATCTAGCCTACTATGTGGTAGATAGATGAGTTTTCCTACCAATCTTAGGTATCATTCCTTATGCACATATATAATTCTTCTTCTCCATTATATTTTTTATTAAGTTCCATTGGAATATAAGAAGGTTTGCATGTAATCATTCATTTTTCCTTTAGCAGATATATAATGTATTTCCTCTGTGTGATATAACAATCTCTTTCTTTGACCTTGCCACTTCTCTACCTAAAAAATATCTCATGTTCTTTTGGTCTTTGATTTCAAACATAGCAACCAACTCTTCTTTGATTTTAAGAATTTCTCTTTTATCATCATCAATAATAATTATATCATCTACATATATGATTAGTGCAATAATCTTATCTTTGTGAGTGTGTTTTATGAGTAATGCGTGATCAGCTTGACTTTGGGAATATCCATTGGATCTCATAATTTTAGAAAACCTTTCAAACCACGCCTGTGGTGATTGTTTAAGCCCAGAAAGAAACTACTTGAGTTTGCATACTAGGTGTTTGTTGGAATAATTCTTAAATCTTGGTGAAATCTGCATTTCTTCTTCCAGATCCCTACTTAGGAAGACATTTTTTATGATAAGTTGATGCAGTCTCTATTCCTTGTTAATTGTTATTGAAAGAAGAACTTTTATAGTATTCAGTTTGACAATCGGTGCGAATGTCTCCTGATAGTCATACCTATAAGCTTGTTTGAAACTTTTAACAACAAGTCCGCCTTTCAATCACTCAATACTCCCATTAGCTTTGTATTGTATGTTAAACACCCATTTGAATCCAACTGGTTTCTTATCATGAGTAAGTTCAGTATGAGTCTATGTGGCATTATGTATTAATGGTTTAATTTTTTCTTTCTTTAGTTTCCTTCATTCTGAACTTTCAAGAGCTTCATGAATGGATTTAGAAATTTACATATTATCAATGTTAGATATAAATGCTTTATAGGCCGAGGATAATTGTCCAAAACTACATACTCCTGAATTGAGTATCTCGTACAACTTCTAGTCCATTTGACAAGTTGACAAGCGATAACTATTTTTAGTGTATTTGACAGTTGTGCAAGTCTCATATTAATAAAAACTTAGTTTTTATTTAAGAAGCTTTGGTGGATAACAATTATCAATTTAATTAAAATTAGGATATCCCAGACGACAATGTCATAATAATCCTATTTTTTGACATACATAGACTTAAGAGACTCAGAAATTTGAGGGACATATGATAGAGGAATCAATTGTGTGTTTAGAGAGATTTTTTTGAGCATGTATAAACCTTGATGCATTTCAACATTATCAATTACCTTTCTCGATTCCATCGCCTGAAATTCACGAAAGTTTGCAAGGAATTTTGTTATATATTTCATATCGTTTGAAATCATAATGCAATCCAATTGTAGACATATAAGACAGAGAAAAGAGTACCTGAAATTCACGAAAGTTTGCAAGGAATTTAGTTATATATTTAATATCGTAAGTAAGTTTACTGATTGAAATCATAATGAAATCCAATTGTAGACATATAAGACAGAGAAAAGAGTAATATCTTAAAAGAGCTCCTCATCCATTTTCCCAACAATGTTTGAGAGGGATCCATTTATAAGTCTTACTGATCTAGATGTAGAAGCCTCTTGATGTTAACTAGTATTTTGATGTCTCTGGTCATATGATCAGAGGCTCGCAAGTCTATGATCCAAGTTCTTAATCATTCATGACTGACAGGACGGGAGAAGAATATAGTACCTCTGTGTCACGAGGTTGGTGTGTTGCTCTGAATTACCTTAAAAGAGTTTCTTCAATACTTCAAGTTGTTCCTTGGTGAATGGTTCACTCAATCCTTTGGATGTGTTATCAGCATTTGCCCGCCCTTTTTTCTTGATCTTTCCTTACCTGCCCAGGTTTCTAGTTGATTGGCTATCCATGAAGTTTCTAAAATTTGTCTTTGATATGCGCAAACTTCTTGCATTAATCACATGGGGGACATTTTTTCTTTTCCTTTGAGTCTTGGGAAGAGTTATGGGGTACAAAGCTGAACATTAGTGCTTAGTGAACTCTCATTTTCGGTCAGCATCAGTTTCTTCTTGCTCTCTTTTCTACTGACTTCAACAATGGATTTACGGGGAGATAGAAGAGGCTTTGTTCCCATGATCCATCTTCTTACCTCATCCGATTCCGGAGTTAGTCTTACTAAGAATTTGATTGTCCTTTCTTCTTGATGATAGATTTTATATGTCACGGCATCTTGTGGAGATTTCCACACATGTGTCTCAAACATATCCAATTATTTCCAATACTTTGACAAATTGTTGAAGTATTGTGTGACACTTAGCTCTCCTTGATGGAGATCAAGAAACATGGTTTCGATCTTAAATAACTCTGCATTGTTTTTCGGTGCTGACATATATTTCTCATGCAGCGTCCCAGCTTTCTTTGGCAGTTTAGTATGGAGCGAAAAATTTTCTGCCACCTCAGTGGACTTTGAGTTGACTAGCCAAGATATAATCATATGGTTTTGATTGTCCAGGTGTTTTGGTTGGGAAAATGTACATAAACTCGGATTGAGATCATTGAAGAAGGTTATGACTGTTGAGTTCATGATTTGTGATAAAGTTGGAGAGTTCAAGGGCCATCTCCATTGAATTCCCGGTTTCTGATTTAGAACTAATTTCCGGAGTAGAGCTTGATATCTTCATCCCGTATTTGATCATGAATCCTTGCATATTTAAGGCTGCTGTTTTTTGCAGGGAGAAGAAGTGCTGTTGTTGTTATCTCTTCTGCCTGCTGCCTTCGCGGCTGCTGCTATTGTTCGGTGGCTGTTACTGCTTCTTTCTGCTGCTTTTCGGTAGCTACTGTTGCCGGTAGGCAGGAGGTTTGATAACAAGATGGGTTTCGGTGAAGGAGGGGCCTGCAGCAAGGAATTCTGGTAACAGGGAAGAGATCCCAAGGCATAAGAATATCCGATTTCCACACAATCTGATATATTTTAGAGGTAAAACAATCATATTGAGAGATAATAAAGACATATTTAAATCGTACCAAAATCTTTCCACCAAGTGCTTCCTCGAGTCAATACCACAACTCAACTGATTGCTTGTTTTGCGTGAGATCCCAAGATTTTAATCAAGAATCTATATTTGCTCTCTGCCACTTAAATTGTGCAGGTAGAAATGTACTTATATAATATAAGGATGAAATGTTCACTTGGAAGGAAAAACCCTCGGCCAAATCAGATTTGGATCCTATGCATTGTCTTTTATCCTATGCAACACATGTTCGGCTGAGTTTTTGTGTAGTCATCAAGTTATGTTTTGTAACTATGAGCTCCATTTAGTAATTGAAGAAGCATAGCAAATAAGTATCCTATATTGTACTGCTTACTAGATTTTAGTGGGGCTGTATCTTGTACAGTGATTAATCGAGACCCTTTTGTCTTATTTTGGCTGCTGGTCCATGGAAAACATATGGATGAATTGTGTATATTTTTATATACAATCGCGTAGCTTCCTCTAGAGTATAAAGGATGGCTTTCACTTGTTACATATTTGGGTGGCTTTGGAGGGGAAACCTGGATGATTTTATCTATCATGAGACGTGCTGTTTTTTATTCTTTTCATCTTGTGTTATAGGGGAAACCAGCGAAGTGTTAAAAATTTAAATGGCTTCTTATGTGATATTTTTCTTTGTAATAAGCTTATGCCGGGCTTTATTTGTGTTATTAAAAAGTTTTAATGGTGTCGCCCTTCTTATTTGTGTTTTTAAAAATTCTTCAAATCAATTTCTGTTACAACTATAAATATGTTTGCATGTCAAGCTCTAGTAAATTTTCTTGATTGAAATTCTCTACTTATGAAATAGGCTTTAATCAGTTCAATGGAACCAGCATAGTTCAAACACTTGTGACCAAGTTTCAACTCTAAATTCACATATATGCATCTTCAAGAAGAAATTAGAAAAAATTCCATCACAAGCAAAAGAAAAATATCATTTTATTAAATCATTTTTTAATATAGCTTGTTTCTTTGTTTTGTTATTTTGTACATGATAAAGTTGCCACCACTTTCGTAGAGATGGGCAACTTGATCTGCAGGTGTGCTGCTGAATGAAGCTAAGGAAGAAATGCATGTTTATTGCTATGTAACGCAAAAATATTGTCAATCTATCCCGTATAGCGCATGATCGTGTGTTTTTTTTAATCTAATATAAAATATTAAAAAATTATGGATAAAGATGCAATAAATAACATAAACATTAATGAAAGGGAACTTTACTGAAAAATAAATTATCTTGATGATAAAAACAACAATATTTTTAATTAAAATTATCACTTTTATAATGTTACATTTATACTTCTTATATTGTTAAACATTTTTACTTGATGCAAAAGTGCTCAGCCCTTTAAAAATTCAATATATTATCATTTCTTTTTTGTTCCATATTTTTTAATAAAAGTTATCTTAATCATCTTAAGAATCATCATCATCTTCTTCTTCATTATATTTTTAAATCATACTTTTATCACCACTCTAATCATCTTCTCGTTATTTTACAGTATTAAGCTTAAATAAAGAATCCTATTCTCTTCGATCACTCATGAATATTGTAGTCTCTTTCAAAACAAATTATTTGTGACAGCGCTTCATATTGCTATCACATACCTCATTTGGTATGATTTTCTACAATGCGAAACCTCTGATCTCAGTTTGACCCGCTAGCCTACTTGCTTGATGGGCTTCGCACTGTACCGATGGTAAAGGAAACTGCAACAACTGGAGAGAATGGCCTTCAGCTTGCCTTTCACCTTCTCTTTGCTTGGCTAGAGTCCTGAACTTGCATATAGCAGCAGAGGTGCCAGAGTTGACAGAGTTGACAGCAGCTTTCTAATCTTCCTCAAAGCCAGCCTCAACAATGATAGGCGAGGCCACTTGAGAAAACTTATCGTCGACGCCTTCATCTGTTTAAGTACTTGGCTAAACTTGGAGTAAAGCCTTAACTATATCCAAGTTGTCTCTTCTCTACATCAAAACCTTATGCATACTTTGTGTCATATCAAAGCCCAACAAAGTAGTCACAGATGAAGAGTAACTAACCCAGTGACAGAGGTGCCAGAGTTGACAGCAGCTTTCTAATCTTCCTCAAAGCCAGCCTCAACAATGATAGGCCAGGCCACTTGAGAAAACTTATCGTCGACGCCTTCATCTGTTTAAGTACTTGGCTAAACTTGGAGTAAAGCCTTCACTATATCCAAGTTGTCTCTTCTCTACATCAAAACCTTATGCATACTTTGTGTCATATCAAAGCCCAACAAAGTAGTCACAGATGAAGAGTAACTAACCCAGTGACAGAGGTGCCAGAGTTGACAGCAGCTTTCTAATCTTCCTCAAAGCCAGCCTCAACAATGATAGGCCAGGCCACTTGAGAAAACTTATCGTCGACGCCTTCATCTGTTTAAGTACTTGGCTAAACTTGGAGTAAAGCCTTCACTATATCCAAGTTGTCTCTTCTCTACATCAAAACCTTATGCATACTTTGTGTCATATCAAAGCCCAACAAAGTCTAAAATAATATTAATGTTAATTATAACTGATAAATCAGAGAAATCAAAATAGCATGCACTCTGGGGGAATGCGCTGCACACATATGCCCATTCATAGCATAATAGAGTGCATTATTTTGATACTTCACTTTGTATGCAAATAATGCAAGGGTGCGTCATGTCATCTTACTGAATATAGCGCACACTCTTGCATGCTATTCATGTGTATGGCCCCAATTTATTGCAAACTAAATGAACTCTTTTCTCTCATCAGCATAATTGATTCTGAAATTTATTATTTCTTAATTTGTTCATCACAACAATTACATGTTTTTTTACATGAATTTAAATGTTTGGAAACTGAGAAATTAATGAAGAAAAATTTTGGAGAATAGGTCAAAATGATCTTTATACTATTGATCACATTGGATCGCTATTTATTTTCAACTCCACATGTTATTTTCTTACTAGAAAAAAATATTTTCCTGTTCTATCTCTTGTAATTATTTATGTTGGGATGATCATATTTAATTGTTCAAAAAATAAGATGTGTCAATTAAGCAGAGGTTATCGAAAAATTTCTTTCATGTTATGTGGAAAGCTAACTTTAGTACAATGATAATTATTAAACATGTAAATTGAACATGATGGCGAAAGATTTGTTTCAGGTAAAATTTACTTTGCCATGTTGTGGGGATGTTCTCTAAACAATTTCTGCAAGCTTCAGTGTTCCTTCCATCAGCATCAATGCCATCTAACATAAAATGGAAAGTTCTTTAACAGAACAATATTTCAGTAGTTCTCTGCTTCTTTTGGATGTCCATGTATTGTATGCTAGTAGGTTTCTGTTGAGGCTATGACCTTAAATAACCAAGGTAGAACAAAATAAAATGGATCAAACTTGAAAATTGAACTATATTACATTGAATATGTTGCATACTTGGAAGGTTTTTGTTGGGGCTAAGACTATGTAATATGGATAGAGATTGATAAAAAATTATCTGCAAATGATTAAAACAATTAGATGCTAGCAAATGATTTGCACTAACATATATCAAGACTTTAGAGATGTTCTATATTGATTTCATTGATGAAATAGTCTCATCTAAAAGTATAGGGTGACATCGCTCATTACAGACCCTTCTCAAACCAATTAGCGAATGAAGCTCCATTCACACCATGATTACGCCCCTTTTTTAAAGCCCTTGAGAAGCCTTATATTGTTATCATCATTAGTTTTTGTATTTTATTCTTGAAATTAATGTCAAAAGGATGTCTCTTATACTTAACTATTGGTATTGATAAGTTGAAATATTCATCAATTTCCCTAATACTGCAATCCTTGAAAAGTTTAGAATTGATGCCTAATTTATTGCTTCTTGCATGCAAATATGTTTTGAACGAGATATAAAAGTCATAGGTGGTTTTGTTGTTCCTAATGCATATAAAAGCATTAACATAAGCTGCTGCTATGTTTTATTAAGCTTGCATGGTTGACTTCCCTTGGCTACCACTTTGTTTTATTAAGCTTCCTACCTGCTGAGAAAATTAGAGATGGGGAAAGTCACAAACGAGGAGACATTGACGAGTGCCGCTATTGTTCTATTTATTGCTTCATGAACGGAGAAAAACAACGTTTCTACTGATGGAATTCAGCTAATATCAATGGCTTCATTCCCTCGACCACAACACTTATCTGCTGCACCATACTCACAGATGCAGTTCTATTCAGTAAAATTATTATAATATCTTTGAATGCCCATTTACTTTGACTTTATTTCTGTAATGTGTACGTTTATTGAAAAAGACTTTTAAGATATATTTTTTACTTTGCCTCTCCAAATAATTTTATGAAAAAGAAGAGTTCTTTCACAATAGACCAAATACTGAAGTTTCCAATATTACCTCAGTTACAGAGCAGGTCCGAGCTTTTGGTTGCTACAGGTTCGTCGTTTGATCCTCAGGAGCAATCCTTTGAATTCAATTTGAAGCTCTAATTGGTTCCTTGTATGTTCTTGACCGGCAGGAGTCTTGGGTTGCTCAATTAGTTGGTTTGAAGGGCTAAAATGAGGGGAAACCAATTGAGAAGATGGTTTCGTGGCGTGATGAAGTTCATAGGGGCTTTAGGCTTGAGGAATGGTGGCTGGTTGTAGAAATTGTAAATGTCATGGTCTCAGCTTCACGATTTTGTGAAAAAAAGCTTGGGAGCAAGCACGGAGATCAGGAGGGTTGTGAGGTCTTATCAATATGAATTGTGCATGGTACATTATTTTTACAATTTTATCCTTGGTCAAAATGGAGATTGTCAACTTCTTTACATGAGTAAATGGTGCATGAAATGGTAACAAGTTTCTTTGATCTAGAACTATTTTTGAGAATTCATCCTTCGTTTCAATATATATATATATTTATATATATA